TAAAACACCATTTATTGAATTAATTTTGCAAAGAATTTAATTTCTATGTTTCTATACAGTAATCGAGTGAACGATTGATGAAATCACATGTTATTTGAAATACATTTTATAATTTATGTAATAAAAATACTTTAATTTAATTAAATCAATTAAAATGCACTAATTTTAAACCGTTTGTTTAATTTTCAATATAACTAATCGAATAGTAATAATAATTATTTTTCATAAATTTGATGTTTCAATGAACTGATTATAGTATATGAAGAGTTGATTGAAATGGTTTTAATAATGTGCAAAGATTTTTGTATTTTATTAAAATTTAATAAATTATTACTTTTTATTTTAATTAATAATATATCAAAACTAAATTGATAGCGTTTCAGCTATTTTAATGCCAAATGCATTTTATATGTAAACCAAATTGGTCATTTGTCATTTTGTTGATCACTTCATAGATCTTACAATTGTTTCCCCGTTATTATAAGTTATCAAATATTTAATAAGATTAGCGTTAATATAACTGTCTTTGAAATTACAATTAAATTATGGTTTAAAATTACAACCAATTCAATGTAGAAAAATATTTATAAAACATTCGAGTTTTGATAAAAGTTGTTAATATATTGCAATAATTGAAAGTCTATAAAAGTGTAATTTAGATCAATAACCCCCCGAAGAATATCTCATTTGTTGGTGAATAGCATTATTGTCGAGCAAAAGGGGCGGCAAAGGAGTACTGGTTGTCGATCCGCTTAATATCTCATTATTTCTTCGGGGATCGTATGAAGAGCTGCTTTGAACTGTCGCTGCATTAAAGTTGTTGTGGTGTTGAGAGTAAGCGCCTATTGTCGACCCATTGCCACAACTTTATTAATACAGAATTCAGTTTTAAATTATTTTATAGTAGACAAAACTTTAAAATATTCAACTAATACTGGAATACAACTATTGGAATACAATTTATTAAATAACACAAATTATTTTGTACCAAAAACAAAGTAAATAAGTTATGAATAATGATATATGAATAATGAACAATAAAAAAGTGTAAATACCCGTAATTTGGCTGAAGATTAGCAAAAGTCCAGTGAGAGAAGTCGTTGGAAGGGTTGGACACATTGCATGGACTATAACTTTGGAAATAGTGTTTTGTTTGATCAACGCTTTGAAATGGAGATATATTGGGGGCAATGATTGGACCCGTGGCTGACATGTCATAGAATCGGTGCCGCGAATAGGAATTCATATTTGTTGTCGAATTGAGGAATGATTTCGTCGATTCGTAGGGAGAGGTTCTAATCAATCAATTTATATATTTAGTATTCATATAAATTCTTGTTAATTATATATTTTATATTATAAATAATATATAGGGTTGTAAACAATTACGAGTTAGAAGATAATGTCTATAAATATGTATTATAGAGAAAAAAGAAGGTATAAAGAAAATATTTTATTTTGATATAAAATCATATTACTGATTTGTTATAATGTTATAATATTTCTTATTTTAATACATATAATCTTAAATCTATTGCATTTTGGATGTTATCAATCGGTGTTACAAATGGATGAAATATTTGTTAAAGCAATAAAATGGATAAACTTCTCACAATGAAACAACAAATTGGGTTTAGTTATAGACAATAAAAACAAAATGTAAGTCAATTTTAAGTTTTAAAATGTCTAGACTTTGGCTCTCGATTAAGATATAAAAGGCTTAATAACCGACTAATACAGTGTAATAGTTGTAACGGTTTGGGAAAATTTTCTAATATAAATAGTGTAGAGAGAGAGAGAGAGAGAGAGAGAGAGATTATATAATATAATGATTATGTGATATGTAAACAGGAGAGAAATAGTTGTGAAGCATCCAAAATGTAGTAATTTTATACATTTGTATAGCGAATAAAATGACAAGTATTAACACTTTGCAATTCGTGAGCTATCGGTTTACACTTTTATTATGCTAATAGTTTGCACAAAACATTCATTTTATCCATATATACCATATTATATCCATACTATAATATTGCAATTATTATTATTCATTATATGAATCTATAGGCGACCTATAATTATTGCTTTATTTTATTGCTGTTTTTAAATAACATTGCTTTCATATTAGTAGCGATTGAAATAATATTAAATATTAATTGTTCAAAATTTTATAGTTTTAAATTTAATTTATTATGTTTTCTGCTCACATTTGCTGTAATGTCTAATCTGTTTATTATATTAAAAAATATTTGATGAAATAATTGCTTTTTGTGTGTATGAAGGCATGTATTTGGTATGAGATGTGCGAACACACCTGTATGTGTATGTCCTGTATATGTCATCCTTTACTATGCGCTACAAAATCTTTCTTTCCATTAGAAGATGTGTTCAGTCTTTATGTAAAGTTAGAGATTAGACCAATAAATTCATTTAAATGCCTTGTTTTGATTACGAACACGAATAGCGAGCGTTTGTTTACAATTTAGTTATTCAACAAATATATAATATGCCGAACAAACCACCCATTTATGCAAAACTAACTCATAATTAATATATATAATAATGCGATCCAACAAAACCATAGATAGAACCGTAGAGTTGTGTATAAAAATCATATTTATATGAAATAGTGATGATTGACACAAACCGACAGATGGATTGTTACCATCACTGATCACAAGAGACACACAGTTATTGCTCTCACATTTCTGTTTCAATGTTTGGTTTGTTTTATATTCTTTAAGAATTATCATTCAATTGTTTGGCCAAAAATAATGGATGAAATGAACCATAAGTTTAACAAAATGACAACCATTTTAGAAGATGTTATTCCTATTAAATCTGAATGTAAGTCTCAATCTTATCATTTAAAAACTTTTTAATTTTATTAATCCATTTTAATGATTTATGTAAAATAACATCATGCTCACTTGTTTAAATAACCTATGTCTGCTAAATATAGTTCAAAATAAAAACGGTAATTAAGTGGAGACACAGATCTCATCGTCACCAGAGTTAGAGTCTTTAAAATTTAGTTTAAGATTTTAAAATAAACTTAAAATGATGTTAACTATTGGTATTTTGTTTGCCACATACGATAATTATGACAACATTTAATTACAAATGTAACAAAGTTAGCGTAAACTTGAATAACGTTTTTGGTTTTAAAATAACAAGAATGTGGATTTAATGTAAAGTCTACTTTACAGTAGACAATAAAACAATAAACGAAATAAATCAAAAAGTAATAACCAAGAATCACAAACTTAAATATCAATTACATGTAGCCATAATTTAATAAAATTGACAATATTGCTCAATTGTTTTAATTACAATATCAAAGCTATAATATTAAACTTTGTTTTAATAGACTGTTATATTATGAGAAAATCGTTCTGATATTTTATTCCTCTAATGATTAGAGTCTAATCACTAGAGTTTAATGAATAAGTCAATTGAGTTAACTCTAATGACATTTTCATATTTTTATTGGTATTTTATTCTTATAAAATTTATAATATAAATTATGATAAATGATATAATGATAACATTATCCCAATTAATTTCCAGTATTTTAAACATAATTTTAAAACAATGTAATATATAGAACATTGTTTATATTACAGCATATTTAGCAATATTTAAGAATGTAGATATTTTGAGTATTTCTTATTTATAAAACGGTATTTACCATTAATTATTTGAATGATAGTTAAAGGTATGCGTTATTGGTTAAGAAATAAATAACTTGTAAACTATTGTAATATCAAGAATTTGTTATAAAGGATTGAAATCGTACATTGAAATTTTTTTAATCTTTAGATTTTTATTTACCGGTAATTATTTACTATAATAATTAAAACAATTCCCATAGAAATGATTAATTTGTGTAAAATACAAATGTTTATTTTCAAATTATTTTCTTATTTATTTTGGCACTTTTGCCATTTGTATCAATTTGTTGTGTTTTGTTATATAAATTTTGCATATAATTAGTTTTGATTATGAATAACACACATAAATATTTGGTAAATTATTTCAAATAAAAGCTAAATATTTATAAACAAATCAATTATATTGTAGGCACAGAAGACCTGAATTTGTACACAACATCATCGCAAACATTGAATTCAAACTTAACAAAAAGTGGTACTAAAATTGAGAGCAAATGTGGATTAAATGTAAATATGAACGGCTCTACCGAAGAAAACAATGAACACATCACTGCAATTGATCCCAAAACAAAGCCACAATATTCTTATGTGGCATTGATTACAATGGCTATCAAAGAATCTAATGAAAAACGTCTTCCATTGGCAGGAATTTATGAGTTTATATATAAAAAGTTTCCGTATTATAAGAAAGGAGACAAAGGCTGGCAAAACAGTATTAGACATAACTTAAGTCTCAACGAATGCTTTATGAAAATTCCTCGTGAAATCTCCACCACTAATGAAAGGAAAGGCAATTATTGGGCACTTCATCCCAATTATGAGGATATGTTTGTCGATGGAAACTATAAGAGGAGAAAAAAGATCAAACGTAACCGGTATTAACCATATAGTCTCTCTCTCTCTCTCTCTCTCTCTCTCCTCTAATGTATGTATCATTTGTTTATACATATAATGTGCCGCTCAGTCAGTCATCAACTATTTTATGTGTCCTTTAATCCCATTATAGACTATAAAATTTAAAGAATAAAACTATAATTTTTTCACTAATTTTAATGACAAACATGAAATTATATATAATTTATCATTTAATTTAGTCTTTTATTTCACGAATGTTAATGAAAATTAGGTAATAAAGAATTTTAGAACTTTATATAGAATTTTTAGATAGATGTATGGTACATATTTTAGTTTGAAATCTACCACAAATTTAATACCTTAACACTTAATAATTTAATAAGAATTTTCTATTTATTTATGAAATTTTATGATATTTATAATAACTACTGTTATTATTAATATCTAGTCAACTGAATTGGTAAATTGCTTTTTCGATTACTAACAAACTAGAAGAACTAGATCAAATCTGTAAAAAGTAAAATAAAGGTCTATATGTCTAGTTTTTTGTATTAAAAAAATTGTTGAAATCACGAATAAATCATAGAAATTTTGGGATATTTATCGGCGTTATGGTTCCAACCCAAACAAAGGGGCTCCAAGGGAGGCGGGTACTTTATTCTGTAGAAGAGATGTAACAGTCTATTATAGCATATTGCTAGTTTGACTTAATTGAAAAATTCAAAAATCTATTAACATTATGTCTATGGGGAAAATTGTCACAGAGTTTGTATTTTAAAAAGTACAACACTTGAACAATCTTTTCCGATAGATCTAATGTTAAGTTTTTTCCAGATATTAAGTAAAATTTATTAAATTGTTACAAAAGAACATTCATTTGATTTTTATGAAACTTTGCTATAATAGACTGTGACATCTCCTCTAAATACCCGCCTCCCTTTGAGCCTCTTTATTTGGGCTGCAACCATGACCTGGGTAAATACCACAATATTTCTGTGATTTAGTCACGTGATTTTAATAATTTTTAATTCAGCTAGGAGAATGTGGTTTATAGGATCGTTAGGCCGTTTTAAATACAGATAGAATTCATCACAACTTATTTGGCATATTTCAATTTGTATCAGTCAGACAATTATTAAACTGTTAAATATCCTAAAAACAATTTATTTATTTATGTGTTTATTATAGGCAACACTTGATATATTGATATAATATCAATGATATTAATAGCTTCATTGATTTAAGCATCATTAGTAGATCCTTATGTATTGCTTACATGTGTACCTTATATTAACTATAAAATAAACTTATTAAAAAATTAAACTGTATAATTTATTAAATTTGTTTATTTAATATAAATATTTAATGAGAAATAATTTCTAAATATTTTCTATATAAGCATAAAATACTAGTAAGTTGGCCATACAAATAAGCACAACATTAATAAAATAATTAATAATAAACAAGTTCTCAATTATTATATAATATTTTATGCCATATTATGCCGTTATTCCTAATATTAATTTCAATCAATTGTTTTTAAAAAGTATTTAATAATATTTATTTGAAAATTGATCAAAAGGTTTAATAAAGAAGATTTTGTGTAATATTGTAATAAAATTATTACTCTTATTTGTTACATTATTGTACAATGTTTTTAAAAAATAAATAATAACAAATAAATAAACACTAAAAAAGTAATGTCATTGTTATAATAGTAAAAAGATAACAATTTGATCGTATGGCGATTTCACTTAATTGTAGTGATGTACAGTATTTCAATGCAGTCATATTATATTTTAGCTGAATTCGTGTAAATCCTACAGAATTCGTGTAAAACATAAAAATAGTTTAAAACTTGAATTTCTCAACAATTTCTAAAGAATATTCCACACTCTTGAAAGAAGTCCGGACCACAATTAAAGCAGTTCCACAATCAATGTAACACTTTTGATACAATTTGTTAAAATCTGTTTTGATGTAATGTTGATTATTCGCGTTAAAACAAAGGCTCATAGACTTTCACACAGATATTATAATCTATTAAAAACAACATATCAATAGATATATATTATAATACTTTCAATTATCATACTATCAGTGCTTTTGGAATGTTGTTGAGGAGAAAAAGAAATAAGGACATAAGAAAAACTTAATAAACTCATATATTAATAGAACCCAATTGTTTGCTTTAACCGAAAAACATATTAATAATTTAGTGATATACTTATGTAATACAATAATATTAAATTTTAATTAAATTTGCAACTATATAAATTATTGTTAATTATATAACTTAAGATTAGATTATAAATAATTGTAAATTATACCATTGATATTAAAATATATTTTCTGTAACATAAATAATGATAAAAACATAGTGAAAGCGACAAGAATTGATTAAAAAATCTACATCTAAATAAATTTTCAATAAAAAAGATTATCTAAAAATCTAGTAATTTCTCAATTCTTAGATAAGTGTAAATTTCCAAATAATATGTTTGTTTTTCTTAATTATATAAATTATTTAAAATGATTGATCAAACTTCACAATATTTAATGTCAACAACAACAACATATTGATCGTAATTATCGTTTAGTTAATTAGAGTAAATAAATTTATATACCGGTAATAGTTTAATGAATGCGTAAAACTACACATTATTAGAGTTGTCATTATATTTTGGTTACAGATTTTACTTATTTATCAATTTTGTCAAATTCAACACCATATGTATCTCATGTGATGGCTTTACT